CCGTCTCCCTCCCAAACATACCCCGCTTTGGGAACCTGGTGATTTCTAAAATCTATACAATTGGTGAGAAACCTCATCAAGGCGTGTGATTGTGAAAAATTAAAATTCCTGCAGGAGGAGATGGATCACAAAAGCATCATCCACCTTCCATCAGCACAGGCCAGGGCTGGCAGGACCCACAGCACCGGGGCAGCTTGTGTCTGCTTCCTGGGGGAATTTTTTCCCTCCAGTTCCTCAGATTTAAAATCAAAAGAAAAGGTGGAGAGAAATAGGACAGAAGGGATATGTTTGCCTCACCTGGATGAGCTCACTGCTCCCTGCACATGGGCAAGATATTGCCAAGCACAGGACTTGTGTGTTTTTAAAAGCTCAGGCCTCAGAACATCCTTCTGGCCCTGCTCGAGATAAAACTGTTTCCAGGATCCACAAGTAATGCCACCAAACCCAAGAACATCCATCAGGGAGCACAGATACAAATGCAAATCCGCCCTGTATTTGCCAGGTTTAATTGGCTGTGCTTGGTGCTGGAAAATCAAGATCTGGAGTTGCCTAAAGCTCATCAGGAAGGTGACGGATTTTTGCCTGCACTAATAATGTGCAGCTGCTCTTCTCAGATGTTATTGAAGGACTGCGACTTTAAAATCAAAAGTACAAATATCTTCCTTGCTTTGTGGCTTGGGCTGCCTTCCATTCCTTGGAAAGATTAATGTAGATTCCCTCAGAGAACAAGGTGGTTTTTTCTTAGCAACAATACCTAGGGGTTTTTTTACAAAAATGGAAGAGTCTCAGAGCCTCCTCTGGAATCCCTTTGGTGATGTAAAATTCAAGTTGTTCATCCCTTTTGGCCCAGTGAAAGGATTGTCATGAAATTTAATCTGTGACATGCAAACCCACTGCTACCACCAAGCAAGTCCTAGATAACTCATCATTAGGGGCCCATGTGCTCATTGGAGATACTTCAGAACATGAAGACATGATTCCAAAGCTCTGTGTTATCCAGTCCTGAAATTAAGGTGTTAGAAAAGAGAAAAATGTTCATTTTATGATTGTGTCAGGGCCTGAAGTTGTGTCTAAGGTTGTGCCATCTTTGGTTCATTGTTGTGAACCTCAACAAGATAATGAAGAAAAGTCAATGAAGAAATCCCTCTTGTCTAACTGGTGGGAATTTGACCCTTAAGAGAAACAATGGATGGGTCAATCGATGGGAACTTCAGCTGTGAAAGAGGAACAATACTCACTGGAGCTGAGCTCAGCATGGAGTGGCTCTCATGAGCCATTGTGGCCTCATCGCACACTCTGACCAAGCGTGCAATGCCATTGTAACTGGGAAAATTCCAGTGCAGTGGAGGAGATCGAAGGTGTGGTTCTGTGGAGGAAACAGAGAGAAGGAAAAGATGCACTCCATTTCCATCCAGGGGACAGTCTGAAGGTGCCCGGCCTGCCCCTCCCACCTGAGCGCCGTGCTCCTCCTTCTCCTGCTCAGCAGCTTTTCATGAATCTAGGGGTTGCTGTGTGTTATTTGATACATCAACTAATAAAACCAATTTGCTTTGCAATCCCAAGTGCCTTTCAAATCTTTTGTGCACAGGCATCGTCCAGAATCGTCAACATGAATGGGAACAAGGGTGGGATGCCCAGAGCACAGAAACTGGTGCTGTTTTGAATGTGTGTGAGAGAAAACCTGATGCTATTTGGAGTGTAAATAGGAGAGAAAGTGACACAAACACGGATGGGGCTTGGGCAGTGGAACATGTGGTTGCACCAGGAGAGGGAGCGTGTAGCTGCCCTGAGAGAAGCTGTTCTGTGTGTGTCAAGTAGTGAAGATTTAATTCAGATACCCAGTTGTGTGGGTGGTCCCTGCTGGCTGAGAAGCTGCCATTTGCAATGCCAGGCAAGCACTCCTTCCCTCAGAGATCCCCCAGAATGATCTCTACAGCAGGCAGCTATCTTGGAGGAGAACTGGGATGGAAGAACGGGGTCCTGCATCAAACAAACTCTTTGTGCCACAAGTCACAAGGACTTGGTGTCCCCACATCCCTCCCGGCGCAGGCAGCGCCTTTCTCCTCTGCCCCACACAGCACACACTGCACCGCCCCAGCAACCCAAAGGCTTTGGCATTCAGGATCTCCCCCCAGAACGATGACTATAGCGCAATGAAAAAAGCAACCACTTTGTATTTATTAATTCAGTCCTTTTATTTCAACAAAACCATCTTACCTAGACTGGTCAAACTAATCTCTAGGCCATCAGAACACTAATTTCACCTACAGAACTTTATTATTTACCTATGCTAGCTAAAGTTTTCTCCCCTCCCTCTCTACCCACTCTCTTAACTCCCTTGTGTTCCCTGTTACCCCTCCCTTGGTCCCCCCTATCTCCTAACCCTCCCTTGTTCTCCCTGCCCTCCCTCTCCTGATCTCTATGGCCGGCTTCACTGCCTCCGGGCCCTGACGCCTGTGGCTCTGTGTTCCCGGCATCGCCGGATCACAGCCGCCACCCTGCTCCGGATGGCCCGGGAGCCGCGCCGCAGCGAGTGCAGCAGAGCCCGGCCGCGGGCCCTGAGGCTGTGCGGGGCCGCTGCCCGGCTCTCTGCTGCTGCCGCCTGCGCGCCAGGGGCTGCACAAGCGGCTGGCTTTGCCATCTCTTGTGGCTGGCCAGTGGCACGCACAGGGTGCTCCTTAACTTCTGGAGCTCTGGCCGGGGCAGCACCTGCTGGCTGGGTGAATCTGGGAGCTACCAGGCCATAAGATGTGCTCGGCAGCTCAGCATCTTCCCCATCTTCCAGCACCAAGTCGGGGTCCATCAGCAGCTGTGGGTAGCGGGGATTCACCCAGATGGTGTGGATAATGGTGACATTCCTCTTCATTCTTTATCGCCTTTTCACAGCTGCTCGATCTTCGGTTTTTGTGCCGGTCCAAAGCTCCAGGAGTTTGGGGTCAGAGCTACATGTAGAGCTGGTGTCTGATGTTGACATCAGCAGCGGCAGCAATGCCGAGTAGCTCTCAACCCCACTGGTGCTGGACCGGACATCCTCTGAGATGTCCCCCTCCTCGTTCTGCAGTTCTGGCAGAACTACCCTCGGTGCTGCCCACTGCCCGTGAGCTTCCTGTGTTGCTGAGGGGCCGGGGACGCAGCTGGGGCCGTGCGGGGCAGCTGCCCCGCTCTCTGCCCCTGCTGCGGCGGCTGCTGCCGCCGTCCCCGAGCCCGTGCCCTGAGCCAGGCCCAGCTGCTGGCCGCATCTCCAGATCACAGCCAGCACCTTGCTCAGGATGGCAAGGAAGCCGCACCACAGCAAGTGCAGCAGAGCCCAGGCGCAGGCCCTGAGGCTATGAGGGGCCGCTGCCCGGCTCTCTGGTGCTGCCACCTGCGCGGCAGGCCCAGCCCAGGAGTCACGGTGCAGCAGTTCCCTCGCCCATGGCAAGCCCGGCCCAGGCCCCGAGGCAGCTGCGTGCTGCCCCATCGCCTTCTTCGGAGAGGTGTTCTCTGGCTTTGTGGATGAGCTCGTCTCCATGTCCATAGACATTTCCGACTTGCTCACACTCCGCCTTCTCCCGGGAGCCGCTGTCTCCTGCCGGAGCCGCTGTCTCCTGCCGGAGCTGCTCTCCTGGGAGTGGGCACCGCCGGGCTCTCCGTGCCCTTTTATACCCGCCTGGTCAGGGCGTGGCCCCAGGTGTCACAATGGGCTCTGGGCACACGCAGCCTCCTCGTCACAAAGGGGAACGGTGTGGGTGGGGTCCCAAGTGTCCCAAAGGGCTCTGGGTACAGATAAGAAGTCCATAATTTCCCCTTTTATAATGTAGAGTAAGATGCAGGAGAACTCGTATGGTTCAGGTGGCAAAGGAAAAAAATCTGATGATGAGCTATTGGAATACAATTTGGAAAAAGGGAGACCAAATACCCCTGAAGGGCTGGAGTACTTCAGTGTCTCCTTGGCTTCAGTTTAATTCAAAAGGTTTCATTTCTAAAGTGATTAGAAGTGAAACACTTAAAACCCTTTGAAGTGTGCTTTTTCCTTGTAGTGTCTTTTGTCTAAGATTCAGTATTGGGTGATGATTAAGCAGGTGTTTAACTGTAAAAATGAATGCCAGCCAAGGTGGAGGGGCACTGGCCTTGACCCCCTAAAAAGTGATGCTGACCTGTGGGACGTAACCACTAAAGAAGTTGCTTTTGAAAGCGAGAGGTATCCACCCAAGAGTGAGACCAGCTCTGCTGTTCTGGTCTGCCACTGAAAACTCAGCGTATTATTCTGCAAAGCAAGAGAGACATGGTAGAATTTGTTTATGTAGCAGGGTGGGTGGTCTATTAGGGTCGGAAGAGGAAAGCTGCATGATTTGGCATGGGGAGAAAAACAGCAGGAGAATGACTGCCAGTAAAGAGAGCTTGAATGTGACTAGCATGTGGTTTGACCATTACCCCTGATTTTTCCAATCTTCCTTGTCCCATTATCCTTGTTGGTTGCAGTTTGGTAGTCTTTGACTCCACAAATGCTGCAGCTGAGTCTTAATGTCAGGCAAATCTGCTTTGAAAAAATGAGACATATTGCACCTTGACATCTAAAGACATAGACAAAAATCATTCTTACACAAAGTGCTCTCAGGAATTAAGAACAAGCACAGACTAACAGGAAAGAGAAAACATTTGCTTGCACTCAAGTAATTCATCCAGTTCTACTGAGTTTCAGTAGACTCAAAGAAACAAAAGGACAGTGATACAATTTTGGTATTCCTTTCTATGCCTTCAGTAATACCACCTTGAATTTGTCCATTTTATCCATTTTGCTAACCAGAAGTATACAGGTTTGGGAAGACTTTCTGTGATGCAAGTGGAATAGAAGATAATAATGCTGCCAAAGCAAGTGCAGCCAAACCTGGTGACATCTACTCCTTCTTTCAAAGTCTGTTTGTTCATCTTCAAAGGAACCAAATATGTAAGAAATCTGATACTATTGGTACCAGAGAAGTTGTGAGTTCCCCATTCCAAAAGTGTTCAAGGCTAGGCTGGACATGGTTTGGAGCAACCTAGTCTACTGGAAGGTGACCCTACCCATGGTAGAGGGTGGATGAGTTTTAAGGTCCATTCCAACTCAAACCATTCTGTAAGTCTATGAATCTGGTACTGTATTGTGATGAATCTGGTGTGTTGAGTGTAAGAGGCAGATGTGGAACATGTTCCATGCAGATAATATACTATAGTAAGAGTCTCCCACTGTCTCTGATGTGCCAGGTACCCAGAATTACTTAGATGAAATCAAGGTTACACACACCAAGAGAAGAAATAACAGACACCAACTTCTTCAAATGCCCACAAAGGTGTAGGAGTATTCTCCACAGAGGGGCAGAGGGGGGGAGAGGGGGCGGGCTTGGTTTCCTGGCAACACAGGGGGGAAAGAAAGGGAAGGCAAGGTAAGCATGGCCTCTCAGCTTCCATAGCTCAGAGGCATTCTGGGACAGGAACAACAAAGTTACAAACTTGCGTGTTGGAAAGAAGGGTCTCTCTTCTCCCAAGCCCGTGCTTTCCTGGGCTAAAGAAACTTCAAGCAGCTGGAAATGCCAGCAGGGTCTTCTCTTTTCTCTATCCGGCCTCTCGCCG